TCCCAGAGTAAAGTCACATGATTAGAATTTGCCGCTGGGTTTATGTTGAACATCTGCTTTGCAGCTCAGAGTTGTTGCAAATATTTGAATTCAGGGTGGCATTTCAAAATTAATTAAGAGGTTGCTTCTCGTACTCTTCCCCCAACCAACCAACCAACAAAAATAACAACAAAACCCAAAAGGACTCAAGCTTCCTTCAATCAATAAGCATTTATTAAGTGCCCACTATCTGTCAGGCACTGGGGATGCAAAGACAAAAGTAAAACAAACCCTGACTTGAAGGAACTTAATGTTGTAATCAAATGCTTTCTCTTGTGATAAAGTGAGTTTATCTGGAGTGAGAAGTGGCCTTACAAATTATCTGCTACAACCTCATCATTTTTCTAATTAGGAAGCTGAGACTCAGAAGAGAAAGAGATCGTAACCAAAGATCATGTAGCTTTTGTTGTTATTCAATTGCATCTGACTCTTCATGGCCATATTCTTGGCAAAGATACTGGAGTAGTTTGCCATTTCCTTCTCCAGCTCATTTTACAGGTGAGGAAACTGAGGCAAAGAGGGTTAAATGACTTGCCTAGGGTCACACAGCTAGTAAGTGTATGTGTCTGGATTTGAACTCAGGTCTTCCTGATGCCAGACTCAGTGCTCTATCCCTTGTGCCACCTAGCTGCCCCATCCTCTTACTAGGAGGCAGAACAGAAATTTGAAACTATATCTTCTGATTCCAAACCCTGTGTTCTTTCCATTCTACTAGGCTGCCTCTCTGGTCTTGACAAGTTTTGTTAAAGGCAGCCAGTGTATATAAAGTATATATTTCAAACAGCAGGCCAGCTTTCGTCTTATTTGAGGCAGGTGGGCTTAAGTAAAGGGAAAGGCACTATGTTTTTGAAAGATTTTCAAAAGGCATAAACTCCTCACTTCATCGTGTCTGTTACAGCTGCTGCACACTTGTTTTTCAGATGAAAATGACCCTTTTCTATGTTATTAATGCCCACTTTTTTTTAACCTCCCTGCTATTTTTAGAAATTTAAGGCTGTGAAAAGTTTCCATTAATGATCTACTCTGCTCATTTCCTGGGTTGAGAAAACAGGAAGCCCTTCACAATCCTGGCTTAAAAAGGCTTCCCATGGAGTAGGATAAATCTCACCTACTCCTGGCAGTTTGCTTTCGCTATATCTCCCTTTAAGAAACAATAAAAACAATAAATCCTCAGCCTTCTGGTCTGGGATGATTCTAGCTAGCTTGTCAGTAGATGGCAAGGCACACAAAGAAGGAACCATGGGCTGATGTTTCATTCTTTGGCCATTATCTGCATGAGGTAGCGACTTCAGGGCCCTTACTAGACATCCTCTACTGTCCTAGCTGAGGCCAAGTGTAGCAGAGTATGTGTCTTTGATCACATACTTGACAGGGGCTTCAGTAATGAACTGAGCCTTTCTTGTTCCATCCCTATCTCTTCACTCCATGGAGAAGTCTTTGAAAAAGTCACACTAGTTCTTAAATCGTAATCTTAGCCTTCATCTCTTCTTCTATCAGATGGGGACAATGACACTTGTACTGCCTATCCTATAGGTTCTTCTGAGACTCAAATGAAATTATAGATGTGAAAAATTTTAAGTTACAGGTGCGAAAACACTAGGAAATTTTTTAAAGTGCTAGTCCAATGTAAGAATATCTTCTGGGGTCAACATAAAACAAAATGCCAAAATTTTGCCTCTTGTTTCTCCCCAAGCGGCAGCTGGCTGGCCCAGTAGATAGAGCACTGGGTTTGGAATCAAGAAGACTCATCTTCCTAAGTTCAAATGGGGCCTTAGTCACTTACTGGCTGTGTGACCCTGGACAAGTCACTTAACTCTGTCAGTTTCCTCATCTGTAAAATGAGCTGGGGAAGGAAATGGCAAACCATTCCAGTATCTTTGCCAAGAAAACTCCAAATGGGCAGCTAGGTGGTGCAGTGGATAGAGCACCAGCCCTGAAGTCAGGAGGACCTAAGTTCAAATCTAGCCTCAGACCAAACACTTGACACTTACTAGCTCTGTGACCCTGGGCAGGTCACTTAACCCCAATTGCCTAAAAAAAAGAAGAAAAAGAAAACCCCAAACAGGGTCACAGAGAGTCAGATGCAACTGAATGAACCCTTAGAGGGTTTAATTTGATGTGCAGTGTCTTCAGCTAGGTACTAGGATAGATATATAGATAAATAAGGCATTGTCTCTGCCCTCAAGAAGCTTACAATCCAATTTAATAGTTGTAACACCTTCATATTCCAGTTTTATACTCAGATCTGAGTCCTAGAGGAAGCTGTGGCCACCAATCTCAGTTTCTTCATCTGTAAAATGAAGGAGTTAGAGTAGATAGCCTCTGAGGATACTTCCACCTTCAGATCTATGACCCTGTGAAAAGTGAAGATGCTAATACTCTCAAGTAGATATTTTCTTGTTTTTGAGTCTATGTTGACTTAGTCTGTTGATCTGGAATATATCTTCAATACCAGTGTGAAATATCTATATGCACATATAAATTCTAAAATATATTTACTATGTATGTAGGGATAATAAAATCCATTTCAAGGAAATTTGTGATGGACCAAAAACTAAACAAGATGCCATGGTCTAATATAGTCCAATTCACCTTCTAGCAACTATAATAATAATAGCTAACATTTATGGAGCTGTATTTATGGAGATATTGCCCTTGTGATAATTCTATGATGTAGGTGATTTGAGGATTATTACCCCCATTTTGCAGATGAAGAAGCTGAGACACAGAGAGGTCTTAAAGCTGGTAAGTGGTAGGAACAGGGACTTGAATGCAGGTGTCTGACTCCTAGGTCAGTGGTTTTTCCACCATATCATTCAGCTGTTGTAATGAAATGGTATTGCAGTGCTTAAAAGAAACTTTCCCATTTGGTTTCCATGTGCTGAGTTTTCTAGATGATTTGACTGTCTCCTAGTCCATACCCCCATTCTGCGTGAAGTAGTAGAAGGTGTGTAACTGATTTGGAGTCAGAAGGCCTGAGCTCACATTCTGTCTGGGTCAATGACTACCTGTGTGATCATAGGCAAGTCCCTCACCATGATGGGATTGGGCTTGATAATCCTTGAGATCTCTTTAGAGTCTACACTCTGGGATACTACAATTATTCTGTTGTGGGCTCCTAATATCCATCAGTAGCTTAGCTGGTGTAAATGAAGTCCTAAAATCACAGTACTTATTTCTGAAGAGACATGGTAAGCTTTCAGGGAACTTTTAACTCACAAAAGCATTGTGATATCTCCTCAGCTTGTGATATCATCCTGTCCAGAGAAAATCACTAATCTTCATTAAGAGACATATCGAAGGGGCAGCTAGGTGGCGCAGTGGATAGAGCACTGGCCCTGGAGTCAGGAGGACCTGGGTTCAAATTCAGAATCAGACAGATAACATTTACTAGCTGTGTGACCCTGGTGGGTAGGTCACTTAACCCCATTGCCTAACAAAACAAAACAAAACAAAAAAAAGAGACATATTGAATAATAAAAGATACATATTGAGTGCCTGAGTTATGAATGATATATCTTTATTATAAAGGATCTTTCTTTTAGTCTCAGGCTGTGTGAGAGTTCTATTTTGTCCCAGCTGTTTAAATACCTTACTTTTATTTTTTTTTCAAATTGCAAATAAAAGCAATTTTTGACATTTAAAAAAATTTTGAATGTCAAATCCTCTCCTCCTCTCCTCTCCCCCTTTCCTGAGATGGCAAGCAATTTGTTTTTTTTTTTAATAATATTTTTCCCAATTACATGTAAAAACAATTTTAATATTCATTTTAAAAAATTCTCTCTATCCCATTCTTCCCCTCCCTGAGATGGAAAGCAATTTGAAAGGTTATACACGTGCAATCATGCAAAACATATTTCCGTATTAGTCATGTTGTGAAAGAAAATGCAGACCAAACACACACACACACACACACACACACACACACACACACACATACACACATATACACATTAAGTGAAAAATAGAATGCTTCCATCTGCACTCAGACTCCTTCAGTTCTTTCTCTGGTGGTGGACAGCATTTTTTCATCATGAGTCCTCTGGAATTCTCTTAGCTTGTCAGGCTGTTTAAATACCTCCCTTAAAAAAAAGAATCAAAACTTACTTTAACACACTGACTTGTCCTATCACAATCACAATGAAATTACTCTCAGCTGCCCATTAGATTGTGCGCTCCTTGAGAGCAAAGATTGTCTCTTGCCTTTTTTTTTTAAATCCTCAGTGCTTAGCACAGTGCCTATCACTTAATCTGCACTTAATAAATGTTGACTGGAGCAGCTAGTGGCTCAGTGGATTGAGCACTGGGCCTGGAGTTGGGAAGACTGCTTTTTCAGAATTCAAATCTGACATCAGTTACTTACTAGCTGCGTGACCCTGGGCAAGTCACTTAACCCTATTTGCCTCAGTTCCTCATCTGTAAAATGAGGTGGAGAAGGAAATGGCAAAAGCACTCTAGTATCTTTGCCAAGATGGGGTCATGAAGAGTCAGACATGACTGAGAACGACAAGAACAAAATGTTGACTGCCTACCCTTGTTTAGTATTTTTATGTGGGAATGACAATTTGGTGTCTTGTAGAGAAAGTGAAAATATGTGTTCAGTGAAAGATAGAGGGAGAGATGTAACCAGAGGAAACTATAGCTTATTTAAAAGATGCCATGTGATCAGACTCACTTAGGTTCTGCAAAGAACATTTGGCACCATTGTTAGCATTTACATTAACCCACTAATGATGTAATCGAGGCACTCATTAACATTGTCAGACAAGAAGGGCCGCTGTGCCAGGAAGAAGTTCTATGTTGAAAGGATGTCAAATGTGTAACTTTAATGGGGAAAAACGTTTTTTAAAAATGCAGAAACTTCAAGGTACTGTTTTAAATTATAGAAAGTAACCTGATCCATTGTATCTGTATCCTCTCATTCCCCCCTACTCTCTCTTTCTCTCTCTCTTATTTTGTAGTTAATGAAATTATCAGGAAGGAATTTTCTGGATTTCCTGCCAAAAATCAGACGTAGAAGAAGTGATTAGCAAGACAACATTTATTGAATGCTTCCGTAACTGGCCTCTTGGACCCTTCTACTGCCCCTACCTACCACCTTCTGTTTCCTTTACTATTCACCTCAAGGCCTGGATTCAACATGACGAACAATGTATTGGCATAAAGCTGACTTTCTTGATTAAGGAGCTCGCCACCTTTCTCTGTAAACATCAGAAGGGACAGTCTTCCTTTCCCCCCCCCCCCAAGATCATTTTGTTTGACCTTAATCATGTATCAACCACATACTGTGTTGCCTGCTGAAAAAAAAAAAAGAATGAAAGGAATATTGAAAACACTCTACTGGAAGTCTCCACTGAAGCAAGCGACATTAGCCGGGACAGAGAGCGGGAGGGAGGAGGAGAAGGGAAAATGGAGACAGCATGCACTTTGATGCAAAATTAAACCCCAGCACTTCCATTCATTTTTCTAGGGCAGAGCTCCTGTGCCTTTTGAAGGAAAGGAGTACTGAGAACACCCAACCCAAAGGAAAATGGTTAAAGTTTCCAGCACCACAGCCTGAAGAACCCAAAGCGCACTGGGGGAAAATGGAGAAGATGGAACTTGACTCTTCTTTCGTAGGGTTGCTCTATTCCCTGCTGTCACTGGGAACTATCCAAAGTTTATTTTTCATTTTCTCATTCTCGAGTGAAGCCGTCTGGCCAATTTGAGGGCCACTATCAGATATTCTTGGTTTCAAGGTGTGCCGTTTGTAAATGTTCATTACTTTTTTTTTTCTTATGCTTCTCAAGCCAACAAGAAGTTAAAGATTGAATTTCCTTGGCTGCCTGATCAGTAACCCATGCATGAAGTCTGGTGCTAACATGTAGTTTTAATATACAGGAGAATGTTAACTGAAATAAGTAGGCTATATATAGTATTTCTCTCTCACCTACAGTTTTACATCTTACTGGCTTTCAAGTGCTTGCTCTTCATTTTATCAGTGAGATTGCTTTTCACAAAATAGTAAAAATCTCAAGCATGTGCAATGAATATAGAGTCCTGTGGAAGGGACAAGACAACATGGGTCAATGGCAAAAAAAAAAAAAAGAAATAGGTATCTTGTTAATTAAGATGATATTAAATAAGACAATCAATATTCTTAAGTGCTTTTATAGGTTTGTGGTTTGTATTTTTTGTTTTGTTTTGTTTAGTCCACAGGTTAAAAGCCTTTTCTGTGAGGTATGAAATAGTTAGGCTTCCTGAATTACAAGGCAGAGATGACAGTGCCACATGACTCCAAATTCAAAGCCAGAGAGGGTTGACTCTTATCATAGGGGACAGTCTGTTCTCAAGGAGAAAACCAAAACCATTCCTGAACGTATCGGTTCTCCCTAACTTTTAGGCCTTTGAAGTTAGGTAGTGTATTCATAATCCTAAGAAATCCAAATGACATTTCAGTTTGGTACAGATTCTAGAGGTTGGTTTGTCTCCCTCCTTTAGGATACTTCAGTAATAAACAGGTGGACTGGCATGCTTATGTAGAAAAGCCAGAGCCTTGGCCTCAGAGAGCTTGCTATTTGTATACTGACTCCATCCTTTCATGTGAACCTGCAACAAGTAGCTTTGGAGAATGCCAGGTTCAGAGAAGCATCAGTCAGTGGAGGCAACAAGGGAGACTGATTGGGGGTGGAGGCCTGGCCTAGAACTCTGGCTTAGCCACTAACTTGTCTGACTTTTGTCCCTCCCCCTTTCTGGACCTCGGTTTCCTTATCTGTAAAATGAGGGGATTGGAGTCAGTGATCTCACACTAACAGGTTATGATTCTAACAATATGAACAACTTTAAAAGCCCCAGAATTCTGTTCATATGAAGTTTACTGGTGTTTGGACCTGAGCTCATTTTAGGTTACTCTTGCGCTAGAAACCCCAGCTTTAAAGAAATACCTGCATTCACTGCTTAACAGGGGAGTCTTCTTGTAGGAGAAAACCCAGTCAAATTAAAGTTCTTTGGCTTGAATTTTCTTTGCAATGAAAAGCACTTTTTTTTAAAGAACTGTTTATTGCGACTGAATGTGCAGTAACAATGGTGCCATGCAAATAGCACCCCCAGATCATGCAGTTTTTGTAAAGAACGAATCAGAGCCTACATAAGAAGTGCTAGACAGGCTCTATTTTTCATCAAGTACTTCTTCTTGCATCTAAGAAGAACACAAAAATTGTGCTTGTAATGCTGCCACAGCCAATCAGTTCTTTTCAGAGGTAAGATCAATGTTGCTGCCCCAATGTTAGACCAACTAGTAGAGGGAAATCAAGCCTTAGACACGGAGTTGGACCACATGGCCTCCAAGGGTGCTTCCAACTGAGACTTTCGAATGTGAGAACTCTTAAGTACTCTTCAAAGGTGATCTGGAAGCTGGCTTCTCAGACTAGTTTGCCATGACAGAGACCCAGGGGAAGAGCTCAATGGTGATAGTCATAGAGGCTCAACCCACCTTTGCTTTTTCAAGCATATTTCCATTTGCACAACCCAAAGTCAGTTTCCTGAGTTTCTGAGAACAGGCCTTGATGGGACTTATTTCCCTTCCATATTTTATAAATAAATAATATCTATATGCAAGTCTCTTACCTGAGGGGTTAATTCACACAGTCCTTTAGAGTCAGCCTTACCTAATATAAAGCTTTGCTGATATGTAACCATACAATCAATATTCATATTCTTTCGCCCACAACAGTGGGGATCCCAAGATGAATACATAGTTCCTTTTAATTTTAAACCAAATAAGAGCATTAAGAAATATAGTAATGCTAAAATGCTTCCAGTTAGATTAAATTATTCATGTTTTTGCCACTCAGTGTTTCTCATGATAAGGAAATCTCTCTGTAGAAATAGGAGGTTCACCTTGGAAGAGTTAATAGCATTTGGTGAGTAATCTCTTCTCACTTAATCTGGACGATAGCCACATTTGCACAGGAGGGAATTCTCTCTTTCCTCAGTTATCTGAATGTTTTACCAAAGTGCCTTCCTGTCATTGTAGCAAAGTCTCTCAACTTCATTGTCCACAGGGTGAACAAGACTAATGCATTTTCCATCAATCTTGTACCATGCTTATGAAACAGCTCTTTGGTGTAACCAAAGATTCTTGTCATTCTTTCTCTTTCTCAGTTTTTAAAAAATTATTCCTTCTTTTCTCCAATATAAACTTAGCCACAGATTGCAGGGTGGGCTTCCATAAACAACTGTACCAAATACTTAACTACCGGAAACAAAACTATTGGTCTTAGAACATAAACAGGCAGAAAAAAAAGTGGAATAGGAGCTGACAGTTATCAGGAAAGTCATGTCAGATACAAATGATAGGAGGAAAGTTTGCCAAGGGAGTAATTGTTCATGAAATATTTTCAGTACAGAAAGAAGCAGTTTAACTTCTCAGAATAGACAGGACTATAGAAGCTGAAGAGCAGGAATGAGAGGGGTCTATTGCATGTGGATAGAAAGAATGTAGTCAAGTCAGGGTTTGCACTCGCTTTATCAGACTTTGTAAATATGTAATCACTTCCATTCTTCTGATAGAAATGTACCATTTTTCTGAATGTAGGATATTTCTAAAGATAGCACTATTATTCTGTATTATATAAAAATGCTGCTGCTTGATAATATATCTAAGACAGTTCTCAAAATTAGCCGGCATGTTATTAAATTTTTATTTTGTTATCTGTATTTTTTTAAAGTTCCTGTGCCTTTATCCACCCCTTTTCCCCAATATTACACCCCTTTTGGGTTAGAAATATTTATAAATGGTTGGAGATTTATCAAATGTCTTATTTTTTCTACATAGTTGTTGGTGAATTTTTTTCCTGAGAAATAATTTTGATTATTGGATAAATATTCCAAATATTCAAAGCCTGATTTTTCAGTTACCCCCCTCTCTCTTCTGGAAGAGAGCATTTTCACAGAAAGTAGAAATACATTGGACAGCAGCTATTTTGTTCTTATAAGTGATACTAAATTCAGCCTGGGATTAAGATGTCATCATGACCTCAGCTGTTTGGAGTTTGGCTTCCAGTTTTCAGGAAGACTGTCACAACTGTAGGGTGAATATTTTGTGCTCTTCTCTGGTGGTAGAGAAAACTGTATTTACAAAGTGTCTACATTTTGGGGGGGGGAACCCCCCAAAACAAAACAATCTGGGGTAGGATGTAGACTTAATGCTTCCATTTTCATAATGGATTTCAGAAAGAGTTAAAAATGGCTTAACTGGAATAAGTCAAGGGATTGGCTAATCATGAGCTGCTGGTGTAGACAATTAAAAGAGACCACTGGGATGTCCAAAGCCTTCCTGGTGTAGATGTAACTTAGAAGGACTAACTCCGTTAGTCCTCTGTAGGGGATGGGATAATTTATATTGGTCCCAGCGACCTGCATTTTACAAAGCATTTATCTTGAGGCTGAAGCACTGGGCAGTTCAGGAACTGTTGAGTTTTGACATTAATAATACTTAATCTACTTTGTAGGACTGGGGTGAGGCTGAATTTATCTTTATTTCAAATTGAAAAGCACTTTATAAGTGCTTTGAAAAGGAATCATTAAAATCTCTTTATTCAGTCCAAATTTGTAAGGGGTGCCCTGTAACTTCCTTGAATTGACAAACCTCCCCTGATACTGAAAGATTCTTGTCTGTGGCCCTCTTTAGCAGGTAAAAAAGACAGAAACTCAAACTCATAAGTTTCTGGTTCCATTATAGGCTTTCAGTGTCAAGTGCCACAGACCCCAATTAGTCAACATTCACAGAATATTTTCACCTACAAATGGTCTAAAACATAGTTGGGTTGTTAATATTCTAGGACCCCAGTTTTAGAGGTGAATCCAAAAAGCTGTTTTTCTCTTCTATATCATAGGAGACCTAAGCTTGTTATAATCATCAGACTCTACTTAAGCGGCAGTATAAACTTTGCTTGCATACATCCCCCAGCCAACTGTGCCTAACCAACCTTACCGAAAATGAAAAAAGCAAAGCTACTGGCTGGTTGTGGAAGCAGGTCCAAGAGGCTACTGAGATACTCCCGAGGACATCCGAGGTTTCCCCAGGGTTTGACCACCCCCTTCCTTTCTTGGTCTGAGGAGGCAACAACTGGGAAAATCCAACCCAGCTATTTAAGTGGTTTGGGCTTGACCAGAATGATCCTATTTGCATAGCAAGGCTGGCCACCGTGGATGGTATAGTGAAGTGTCTGTGTTCATAAGCTACAGATCTGAATCTGAATATCAGAGCTGTTGTCCAGAGGGGGTTCTCACTCTGTGGTCTACATAGCAGCCTTCTCCTACCACAGTTTTACTCATGGGTAAAATATTCCCAGTTTGGACCTGCCGAGTAACAGCCTCTGTGGATTCATTTAACAATGGTTTTTCTAGTAGTTCTAAAGCAGTGCCTTTTTGAAGTGCCAAGGAAGGCTAAGGTTTGGAAAATGCTAACTTTTCAAAGGGGTTCCAATCTGCCACATTCCTATGCAAAACATTTTTAACCTCCAATATAATGTAGTTTATTTTTGCTATCTGTAAAATATTTTTATATAGCTTGTATTGTGATAGTTCGGCAATAAAACAAAAGATAACTGCTATTGTGAGTTGTCTGTGCATTTCTCTCTTTCTGTCTCTTTTTTTCTCCTGTAGCCTGACTCAGAAGGGAACATTTACCTCTGAGCTGATATCAGGCTAGTACTGGCAAAGAAGTGACCAGTGGTGTTTTCATATGTTTATTCCCTGTCCTAAACAGTGGTAGTTTTATCATAGAGAGTTAGGACAAATTCCAGCTCAAGCTAGACTTATTTTACATTTTTCAATCTTTGGGATAACTTCATTGACCTCGTGGGAGTTTCTACACTGCTGTAGGATGACACTGCCCCTGGACAGCCATGGTGACACTGGCTGAGCTTCAGTCTAAAATAGAATTTTAGAGAAGTCCGACCCCTCCACAAAGCATGAATCCTATAGAGGTAATCTTTTAGCTTCTCCTTGAATGAATACTTCCAGAGTGACAGGAAACTCACTAATAGTAGTAATAACAGCAGACATTTACATAGTGCTTTAAGACTTGCAAAGCACTACGGAAATGTGTTATTATTATCTCCATTTTACAGATGGGAGAACTGAAGCAGTTAAATGACTTGCCCAGGGACATATAACTGGTAAGAGTCGGAGGCCAGATTTGATCTTGGCGTCTTTCTGACTCCAGGTTCAGCCACTGCTACACCTAGCTCCAAGGCAAAACATTCTACTGCTGGAAAGCCCTAATTGTTTCGTAGTTTTTCCTTATTATTGTAGCCAAGTGTTGTGTCCTTCTCTAATTACCATCAATTGGTCCTTATGTTCAACACCACACGACATCCTTTTTGTCTTTGCTATTTTCAAACAGCTGCCAACATTGAGGCAGAATGGTGAAATGGAAAGTGAATTGGATTTGGAGTGGGAGGGCCCAGGTTCAAATCCTGACTCTCCCATTTAATCCCTTTCAGAATTTTGGCAAAGTCTCTCAAGCTGAGTTTCAGTTTCCTTCTCTACAAAAGGAGGGTGTTGGACAGCATGCCTTCTCAAGTGTCTTTATCCTAATCCCATAATCTGATGATCTGTCATTGGCCTTGGACTTTCTATAACGTTTGGACCAGTGAGTTCAAATTGTAAAGTATGGAACTGAGATCAGCATTTGGAGTCACACCCTCCCCAATCCCACCCACCCCAGCTTTGAATGGAGAAAATATCTCTTCCATGGCTACACAGTACTCCTCAGCCCTTCACAGATCATTAAACTATAGTGCTGGGAAGGTTCAACCCCATCATTTGTTAGAGGGGGAAACTAAGGCTCAGAGGGGGGTAGCAATTTATCCAACCTCACAGATCTTTGCCATTTTGGTCACAAGAGGCACAAGATGATACGAATCAATCAAAACTGTTGCCACCCTGTGTGTACGTATAGTAGTTTGGTTCAGATCTATGGTTTCCTCAAAGTAAGACTCCTAGAAAGATGCTACCTCCAAGAGTGTAGATGAGGCAATCAATTTTAGAAAGCTGCCTGGGTCAATGCGACATTAAGTGACTTGTCAAGAGTCATATAGCTAGTATGTCTTGGAGGCAGGGCTTGAATCTAGGTCTTCCCTGTCCTCTACCTATTATACATACCGCACTGCCTCTCGTTAGACCTAGTACATACTTAATAAACATTTGTTAAATTCAATTAAATTCAAAAAGCATTTCTTAAACACCTACTACATGCCAGGCACTAAGTGCAGGGGGTACGAATATGAAAAAAAGAAAGATAGTCCCTGCCTTCATGGTGCTTAAAATCTAATGAGGTAAGACAACACACAAAAGGAACCTGAAAGGGGCAGGGGGTGGAGGGTAAGGGTAAGAGGAGCTGGAACTGAGGGGATTATGTTCTCTGGAGTTGAAACCAAGCCAAGCTGCTAATGGAAAATGGAGAGTTACCTGGAAGGTTCGAAAGTCCAAAGCCTTCAAAAAAAGAAAGATTTGGGGGAGGGGTTTTTACTCCTCCACCCTCCAGCCTTCCAGCCAGAGGGGAGAAGCAACTGAGGGAACAGAGAAGATGTTGAGTATCACAAACTGAGTCAGTCTGCATGGTGTTGAAATTTCAAGCGGTCAACTTCTCCTGGAGGAAGCAAGATGTTCCTTGGAGTCAAAATCAAGCCAAGGGGCTGATGGAAACTAGAGAGCATTCTGAGCCCTCATTACAATGAGAATCCTTTGAAAGAAAGTCATTTGTGTTAGGTGGTGGCAGCCAATTTCAATCTTTAAAATGTGGTGGTTTCTCAGACATCAATCCCATCATAATAATGCCACTATTGCAACAGTTTACATCTCTATAGTACATTTCAGTCACAAATCACTAATTACCGTACGGGATTTGATCCTTGGAGGTAGAAAGTGCAATTATTATTATCCCTACTTCGCAGGTGAGAAAAGTGAGGGTCAGAAAGGTGAGACGCAGAGCTAAGATTCAAACCTAGGACTTCTGAGGCCAGTTTCAAACATCCTGCCTCAACATTTATGTCTAAACAGTTGAACTATTCCACTAGAAAACAGGAAAGTGTAGCATCTTCATTTAGGAAATTCTCTTTTGCCAAATCCTAGTATCTATGTCAAATCTTAATATTAATTATCAAATCCCAGCATTTAAAAAAATTAACTTTTACCCCTACAGGCTAGTCTAATTAGATCTTGCAAAGTTCTAACATCTTAAGAGTTATTCTGCTCAAACCAGGAGAACATTGCACACAGTAACAGCAATATTGTATGATGATCAGCTGTGATTCACTTAGCCATTCTCAGCAATACAATAATCCAAGACAGTTCTGAAGGACATATGATGAAAGGTGCCGTCTATCTCCAGAGAAGGAACTGGTGGAGTCTGAATGCAGATTGAAGCATACTTTTTTTCTTTACTTGCTTTATTTTTCTTGGGGTTTTTTTTTTTGGTTTGTGTTTTCTTTCACAGAATGACTTACATGGAGATATGTTTTGCATGACTACATATATATAAGCTATGTCAAATTGCTTACCTTCTCAATGAGGAGGGCAGAGGAAGGAGGGAGAGAATTTGGAACACAAAATTTGAAAAATAAAGCATGTTAAAATTGTTTTTACATGTATTTTGGGGAAAATAAAATATTAAAATTTTAAAAAGTCATTCTGCTCAAAGAGAAATGTAAATGAGAACAAGTTATCATTTTATACTCCCCAAGCTATCAAAAATGGGAAAACTCATTGTTGGAGAACTGGGACAAGATAGGCACATGGATTCACTGTGGTTGGTTCAATCATTCTGGAAAACAATTTGGAATTAGGCAAGAAAATTCAGGAAATTGTTTATACTCTAATCCAGAGATTATACTTACTGGGACCATGTTCCCCAGAAAGTTAAGAATAAGAAAGGATACAAAAGATACAAGAATATTCAGATCAGTGTTATTTATGATCATGTGATTCTAGAAATAAAAACATTGGGAAAACAGATAAAACTGTGGTATGTTCATGTAATGGAATATTATTGTTCTATAAAATAAGATAAATATGAAGGATTCAGAGGAATATGGGAAGACTTGTCTGAAGTAATGAAGAGTGAATAGGGCCTAAATATCAATATGCCCAATGATGTTATTGTGCAAATAAAGTTAACAATGAAAAACAAAATTCTGATCAAACAGAAGTTACCATTGGTACTGGATTATTTATCAGTTAAAGGACACATGTCTCCTTTTTGCTAACAATTGTCAACTAATATTTTGGGGGAATCCAGGTTTGTGTAGGAGTCAATTTAATTATTCTCTCCAGGGGCAGCTAGGTGGCACAGTGATAGAGCACCGACTCTGAAGTCAGGAGGACCTGAGTTCAAATTCGGCCTCATACCAAACAGTTGACACTAGCTGTGTGACCCTGGGCAAGTCACTTAACCACAATTGCCTAAAAAAAAAAGAAAAGAAAAACTAATTATTCTCTCCATACAGATGACTCCCAGATCTATACATTTAGCCCTAGTCTTCCACTTGCACACCAGTCTTGCACCACAGATGAAAAAGGTATCATGGTGGGAGAACCTACAATTGATTGGCTATGAAGGGGTGAGAGAGAAGAAAAATTCAGAATGATTCCAAAGTTTTGAACTTAGATTGACTGTAAATTGATGTCCTCTCTGGAAACAGAGAAGTTAGGAGGAAAGCTGGGTTTGAGAGGAAATAGAATGAGTGCTATTTTGGAAGTAAGAGAACTAATAACAATAAGGTGAAGGTGTCCAGCAGACAGTTCCTGGAGTTCAGGAGAGAGATGTGGGCAGGGTATATAGGTTTGGGAATCATCTGAATAGAGTTGATAATTGAAAAGTAAATTGCTATAGCTTTGTTCTTTAACTATATTACCTTTTGTCAAAAGCTCTGTCCTTCACAGTGGAATTAAAATGTTATTTGATGTATTGAATCAGCCCCATAAGCACCATAAGTAAGCCTTTAACTGAACTTCTGTCTTTGTCCTTTCCTTCTTAATGGAACTCATTACCTGTATCTAGAAACTGATCCAATGTTCAATGAAGGGGATGGGCAACTTCTAGAGAATGTCTGTTGTCTATAACCCACTCCATCTCATCTACACTTTTACCTTTATCCAAAATTCTTCCAGGTTCCAACAATTCAACAAATACCTGTTAAGCACCTACAGCCCATTAAGGAGCAATATAAAGTGGTAGGAACAGAAATAATCTTGCAGGGGATTGGGATATGAACACATGGTGAGGAAACAAGGTATACAGTCTATTCATTCTAGAAGCTTGCCAGTGAAGGAGAGAAGAAATACAAGATAATAGCTTGGGAGGGAAACAAGGTGGAGATTCAAACATGTCTGTAGGAAGAAGAGGAGCCAATAAAGTGGGAGAAAAATAGGGGTGGATAATGGATAATGGATGGACTAAGTCCCCAGAGAAATTGAGGAAACTGGGTCAAGATATATGGACAAGCTTTGACAAAAAAAGAACCCCCTCCACTCATCTTTTGAGACAGAAAGGAAGAAAAAGAGGATGAAAGAAAAGATAGAACAGAAAACAAGAGGTTTTGAGATGTGGACGAGAGATGAGGAGCTTGTGATAGCTGGTGTAAATCTCTTCAGTAAAGTAGGAATGCATTGAAGTAAGTGTGGGAATTGAAGGTTAAGTTAGGGGCCTGGAAGAGGGAGGGTTTGAAAAATCTTCATGTCTAAAAAATTAGAAAAATATTAATTGTTCATGGGTAGGCTGAACTAATATAAGAAAAATGACAATTCTACCTAAGTTAATTTACTTATTCAGTGCCATACCAAACTACCAAAAATTATTTTATAGAGCTAGAAAACATAACAAAATTCATCTGGAAGAACAAAAGGTCCTGAACATCAAAGGAATTAATGAAAAGAAATGCAAGGGAAGGTGGCCTAGCCTTGCCAGATCTAAAACTGTACTATAAAGTAGCAATCATCAAAACTACTTGGTACAGCTAACAAATAGAGTGGTGGATCAGTGGAATAGGTCAGGTACACAGGACACAGTAGTCAATGCCTATAGTAATCTACTTTTTGTTAAACCCAGAGACTCTAGCTTCTGAGATAAGAACTTGCCATTTAACAAAAACTGCTGGGAAAACTAGAAAATAGTATGGCAGAAACTAGGCATAGACCAACATCTTACACTGTATACCAAGATAAAATCAAAATGGGTACACAATTTAGACACACAGGGTGATACTATAAACAAATTAGGAGTGCAAATCTATGGAGAACAGAAGAATTTATGACCAAACAAGAGATAGAGAACATTATGAAATGCAAAATGGATAATTTTGGTTACATTAAATTAAAAAGGTTTTGCACAAACAAAGCCAATGCAACCAAGATTAGAGGGGAAGTAGAAAGCAGGAAACAATTTTTTACAGCCAATGTCTCTGATAAAGGCCTCATTTCTAAAATACATAGAGAACTGAGTCAAATTTATAAGAATACAAGTCATTCCCCAATTGATAAATGGCCTAGGGTATGAACCTAGTTTTCAGATGAAAAAATTAAAGCTATTTATAGTCATGTGAAAAAATTCTCTAAATCACTATTGATTAGAGAAATGCAAATTAAAACAACTCTGAGGTACCACATTACACCTATCAGATTGGCTAACATGACAAAATAGGAAAATGATAAATGTTGGAGAAGATGTGGGAAAGTTGGAATGCATTGTTGGTGGAGTTGTGAATTGATCCAACCGTTCTGGAGAGCAATTTGGAACTATGGCCAAAGGGCTATAAAACTGTGTATACTCTTTGATCCAGCAATACTGCTTCTTGGTCTGTATCCCAAAGAGATCATAAAAAAGGGAAAAGGACCCACATGTACAAAAACATTCATAGCAGCTCTTTTTGTGGTAGCCAAGAATCAGAAATTGAGGGGATGACCAACAATTGTGGAATGGCTGAGTAAGTTGTGGTATATGGATGTAATGGAATACTGTTGTTCCATAAGAAATGATGAGCAGGTGAATTTCAGAAAAAAACCTGAAAAGATTTACATGAGTTGATGCTGAGGGAAGTGAGCAGAACCAGGAGAACATTTTACACTAACAGCAACATTGTGTGATGACCAACTTTGATAGATTTAACTCTTCTCAGCAATACAAAGATCTAAGACAATTTCAAAAGACTAATGATGGAAAATACTATCCACATCCAGAGAAAGAACTATGGAGTCTGAATGCAGATCAGAGCATATTATTTTCTCTTTTATTTTCTTTCTCGTGTTTTTTTTTCTTTTTGTTCTCATCCTTTCACAATATGACTAATGTGGAAATATGTTTAATAGGGTTGCACGTGTATAGCCTATATCAGATTGCATGCCATCTTGGGGGAGGAGAAAGGGGAGGGGAAATTTAGAACTCAAAATCTTATAAAAATGAATGTTGAAAATTAAAAATAAAGAAAAAAAAGAAAAAGAAAAATCAACATGGGGGAAGTGATAGGAAATTGGAGGTGAACAGAATATTTACCATTATTGAGAGACCAGTTGAGGTGACAGTACAAATTTGTAGCAGACCCAATCAGCATGGCTCCCTCTAGCACTACTCAATGGCTTGAAATCGGGAAAAGAAAAAAAAAACCCTAGGTATCAAGGGTCATACAGAGTTGAGGATTAGCAGGGCAGGATGGCAGAATATCAAGAGAGGTAAGTGATTTAAGGATTTGACTGCAATGGCTGCCCACAGGGTCAAGACTGAAAGGGAAAAAGTGAAGCCAGGATAGGGACTTGGAGAACAGCATAGGATCAAGGAGCTGGAGGACCCAGGGTTAAAACTAACATCATGGGCCAGCTATTCAGATTTTAGTTCTTGAAGATCCCAGACTTCCAAGCTAACTCTGCTGCTGGCAATGTGAGATGGGTGTGTTAGACTGAGTGCGTTTCACAAGTCATACATGGGGAAGTTCCACAGCAGTGACCAAGTGCTTAAGGTGGTAGGTCAATGGTTAAACTTGTCTGTTGGGCAGGTTTCAACACTGAGAGTCACAGAAGGCTGCAGTGACCTCCACCGAAGGCAGCCACGTTGTGTCGGAGCCACAAGTCAGGAAAACTTAGTTCTAGACTAGTTCTAGTTCTAGTCTGAGTCCAGTCTAGTTCAGCTCTGCTGACAACTCCCATGTGACCTTGGGCAAATCACTTCTACTCTTTGGGCTCCAGAATCTTCATCTGTAAACTGAGGGGACTGGGTTAAGCTTCAAAACTCTTAGGCTAAATGTTACTGTAGATCACACTGGGGTAAAAAGCATTACAAAAAAAGTCCGCATTCTATACTTCATAAATGGTCAACATCCTCTCCATTCCAGTTAAATTGGCCCACTAGCTGTTCCCTATGCAAGACTCCTGCCTCCATTCCTTTGTGTGCGCAGTCTTCCCACTTCAGAAATGCACTCCTTGCTTACCTCCACTTTATAGACTCCCTAGCTTGCCACAAAGTAGAGCCCATGTGCCACCTCCTACACAAAACCTTTCATACTCCTATATCTCTCCCTCCCCCCCACACACTTTGCAAATGTTTATCTGTGTATATGTTGAATCTTCTTGAGGACAGGGACCAGTTTACTTTTGTCTTTGTATCCCAAGAACCCAGCATAGTGCCTGAGGCAGAGTAGAATGCTTAATAAACATTTGTTGAAAAAATAGCAAAATGAGATTACGTTGTATCATCTAACATGCATATTTACAAATTTCAAAGAGACAAAAATGAATGCCATAGAGAAATACTTTATTGGAGAAATAAGAGAGGGAAGATTGACTAACCTATAAAATTGATCTTTGCTTTTCTCCTGACTTCATATCTAGTACTTTTACGCAAGGTCGCTATCTCTTCTAATGAGTCAGTTGCCCTTCATTGCTGGCCCACACAGTACATGGGCTGTTTCTCCAGAGAAATCTAGAAGTAACCTGGTTGTCATTTGCCTTTTTGCATTTCAGCATCAATCCTGGTCCTCTTTCCTATGAAACACACTCTTCAATTACTATATTGCTCTCTGGAGACAGGTAGACAGGGAAGGGATTTGCCAGATGCCATTTATGAGCCCAAAACTGTGAAGAGAGATTCAGATGTCTTCCTCCAACATGCTGTTTGGCAAAGTGAGGAATCTATGCTGAATCAGAGTAAGCCCACAGCCCTTAGCTACCTTATATTGTGTGAGGATAATCCTACCCAGTAATGATTACATTTTGGCTCTGCCTTCTTTCCATCTGGTCCTTCCCCCCAGCTGTGCCTACTGTTAATCCATGTTCCAGTTTCACATTCATATGGTGCAGATAAATTAGCTCCCTCCCTATACCCTGGTTGTCTTCTCCAGTAGAGAGCTCAGCATTTCAGGCTGTGATTCCAGGGCCTCTTGGCAGAACAGACAGCCCAAGTTCTGAAAACCAAAGAACACATATCAAAAAGCTACATCTGACATAGGCAGATAGGTGTTGCTTTGTATTTCTCTGTCTGCATCATGTGCCATAACCCAGCCAAGGCATGGTCCAGGGGTGGGGAACCCGCAGGCTTGAGGCTACACGTGGCCTTCTAGTTCATCTGATGTGGCCTTTTGACTGAGTCCAAATTTTACAGAACAAATCCTTTTATTAAGGAGATTTATTCTGTGAACTTTGTATTCAGTCAAAAGGCCGCACTTGAGGACCTAGAACGCCGCATGCTGCCTCAAGGCTGCAGGTTCCCTGCTCCTGTCATAGTCTTTTGGCATTTCTAAGTAGAGACATAGGTGGCTCAGGAGTAGCTGCGTTGACATATTCATTCATTGATTCATTCAGTAAAATGAATATAGAGCTCAATGCAGGGTCCTGACAAAACTGCAAAGATTAAATAAAGTACGGGCCCTACGCTCATGGAGGTTACAGTTTAGAAGAAAGATCTGAAAAATATCTCTGATACAGAATGACATATAATAAGGCATAACACAGACGCAATGTGATATAGTAGAAAAAGAGCTCGATGTACATTCTCGAATATCTGGGTTTGATTCCCATCTCTGACACATAATTGGTGTGTGACCCTGGGCAAGTCACTTAACTTTTCAATGTCCTAGGTAACTAAGTATAAATTGTAGAGCAGATGCCAATCTACCTTGGCATATTGAATTTCCTTCCAGGGAGCTCCCCATACTGATAGAATCAGGTCCAGTAAAAATAAACAAACAGATAATTAATTAAACATTTATAAGTCTAGTAAAAAAAAAAGATGAATGCAGAGGTGGAAAAAACATGTTTTCTGTTTTCCAATATGTGGAAGGGTCATTAGGTTATTTTCTTTTTGACAAATTTGAGAAAATAATGATAATTTTTCCAGGCAAGTAATTCTTCCTTATGTCCTTTCCAATGTTAAGCCCTTCTCCTTGGTATACATTCATATGTATTTTTGAAACATAGAAATACATACATATTGGAAACCTTTTGTTCTAGTTTTATAACTCATAATTCACTTTGTAATTCGAGTATTTAATACGAGAATTTCTTCCAAAGGCTTTTCCCTAAGTGTGCACTATTGTAACATCACTGACTGATGAGCGGATGGATAAATGAACCAATGGGATGTTCAGTGTTTATAGAGCTATGTAAAACCCCAAACCAAACTGGGGTTTGTGTCTATCATTGCAAGAGTGGTAACACGACTATCAAGGCAAAGTTTCCCAATTTTAAGAAAGTGGCCATTTGATTCAGATGAAATTAGATTTGGAGGTGAAGAGAGAACAAAAGTGTTTAGCTACTCCACCTCTGCTATCTTCTAACTCTTATTACTGGGTTCAACTCTTGACTCCAGCATTTACTTAGCTGTGTGAACCATGGGTGATTCAGTTAACCTTTCTGAACCTCAGTTTCCACACCTGTAAATAGGAGTTAAGAAGACCTATAGTAGTAGTCATAGCATTATTGCAAGGATCAAATGAGTATAATGCGTTAAGTACTTTGAAAACTTTAAAGCATTACATAAATGTCAGCTATTATAATGGTGCAATGGATAGAGTGTTGGACTTGGAGTCAGGAAAACCTGAGTTCAAATCTAGCCTCAAACACTTGCTAGATGTGTGATTCTGGGCAAATCATGTAACCTCTCTCAGCCTCAGTTTCTTCATCTATAAAATGGAGATATTAATAATAGTACCTTCCTCTCAGGGTTGTTGTAAGGATCAAATTAAATAATATTTGTAAAGAGCTTTGCAAAACTTGAAGCACTATATAATTGTTAGCTATTGTTATTATATTATAATAATAACAATTGATAGTGCAAGAGGTTATCTCTTCCTGCCTTTCTAAGCCGCAAGAAAATATTTCAGAACTTACTGTTGGGAGTGGAGTCAGTTAGTTTTTCTTAATAGAAATGAAGCCTGGGCTTCAGAGTTAGTCAAAGCCCAGTTCTTACAACACCAAGTTAGTTCATGAGGTTCATACTATCTGAAGAAATATCAGCCAACATTTACATTATGACAGGTGGAAAGGGTGAGCAATTAGAGTCATGGTTCCTACCCTCAAGGAGTTTACAATCCAACAGGTATCTTACTGACTTCCTATCCAATACACAAAGGAATGATCCCAGACCTTCTCTTATCTAGCACCCAATCAGCATTATCTTTTCAAGACATTTCACACAGCTCTCAAGGGGATAACTGTCATCTTTAAGAAAATGAAGGCTATTTGGCTCAAATTTCTGAATTCACTCACATATTCTCTTCAATATTTCTGACACCCACAAGTGAAAGTGATCTCTCTTTCTCACTTTTCTCAACTTTCCTGGAGTACTTTGTTGGGATTTCTCCTTTGCCATATCACACACTACTTTCTATCATACTTTCTTGGGTAGATACATTAGTCTCTCTATTAAACTGTAAGCTTCTTGAGGGCAGTAATTGCTTCACTTTTCTCCTTAGTATCCTCAGCACCTAGCCTAGAACTTTCCACCTAGTAAGTACTTAGTAAATGTTTGTTGTATTAAATTGAATCTCTGTGTCTACATCTGAGCTCTCATTTCTTGCTTCAGTTTCAGATGATGTGTTGGTACATAGGATCATAAACTTAGAACCAGAAGGGAGTCTAGAGACCATCTAGTACAACTCTTTTATGTTACAGATGATGAACTGAGACCCAGTGATTTAAAGTGATTTGCACAGGCTCACAGAGCTAGTAAGTAGCTGAAGTAGTCTTCTTCACTCCACATCTAGTGTTTTATCCATTATACTTTATACACACACACACACACACACACACACACACACATATACATATATGTATATATACATATATACACATATATGTATATATATACATATATATACACATATATGTATATGTACATAGTTATGTACAACTCTTCATGGCCCCATGTGGGGTTTTCTTGGCAAAGATACTGAAATGTTCTGCCATTTCCTTTCCCAGCTCATTTTACAGATGAGGAAACTGAGGCAAACAGCGTTAAGTGACTTGCCCAGGGTCACACAGCTGGTAAGTGTCTGAGGTTAGATTTGAACTCAAGAAGATGAGTCTTCCTAACTTTAGGCCCAGTGCTGTATGCACTTTACCACCTAGCCACTATATTAAATTGTCTTTTTCAAAAGTGTGCATCCCTTCTCAGTTTGTGGAGGACTTCATTCTCTTCCTCAACATCTTCAATCCCTCCCTCCCTTGGTTTTGCAATAAGTTTGGTATTCCCTATCCTGAAAAATATCTTTACTTGACTCAGCAGCCCCCTGTAGCTATTGCCACAACTATCACCTCCAATGTGATCTCTACTAGACTTGTCCCCTTAATCTAATCTCAGAGAGGAAGTGAGTGCCTGAGGGCCTTGGGAATGACATGGATTCATTCTGGGGGCCTGGTCCAGCTGCTCCTGGGGAGCACCCAAGCAGCTGTATCTAGGTCACAAGCATGGCATCTTTCATGACTAAGTCCCTTCCCACCCTAATGAGTAGGGCTCGAGTACCAGGCCTGTCCACAGAAAAGGAACAAAAGAGTGTGTGGTTGGGGAAAAGAGCTAAGCCTGGCCCTGCTCTAAAAACCTCAGTGCATTCTGTCATTTCTGCGGCCAACCTCAGTGACACACCACCAGTCTGAGGTTGGTGGCAGACACAGAACTGGCTTCCCAGGGGGCAGATGGTGCCCAGTAACACAGCCAGGGCTGGGCTGGGGTGAGATTATGAAGTAGAAATAAGCTCAATTTCAGCATGTCTCCATCCCATTTTCTGTACCCTTACATTCCAATCCTACCATGGTCCCTCTAGACACTGAATGCCTGTCTTCATTCATTCTACAAGCATTTACGGAACAACTATTATGTCTTGAACACTATTTGGAAGGATACAGAGCTGAATATGACACCACGCTTGACCTCAGAGAGCTTACAAACTAGTTGGAGAAGACAGACCAAAATGCAAAACAAAAAAGTGTGTGTGTATGTATATACATATAAGTGTGTGTGTATGTCCGTGTCTATGTATGTTTGTGTAACATATATATATATGTGTATATATATATATATCTCAATCATATCATATAAGATGAATGTAAAGTGTTATGGAAGAGGTCAGAAGCAAAGGACTATGGGAGACGCCATTGTTTAATACAAAGAAAAGGGAGATGTCATTTTCTATCTAGGCTCTGTGTGTGTGTGTGTGTGTGAGAGGAGGAGGGTGGATCAAGGAAATGATCATGGAGGATTCATGGAGGAAGTGGCATTTAAGCTAGGTCTTGAGAGAGATGCATAGAAATTGAATAGTTGGGGGTGGAGGAAAAAATGAGCAGAATCTCTCCTTCATGCTAATTCCTGGGCTTGTGGAACTTTATCAACCCAACATTCTGATAATTTAGTATGTCTTATGTGCCCTTGTATAAATTTTCACTCTAGTGACTGACACTCACTGCCTAAGGCAAAAAGAGTGGTAGACAATGATGAGGTCAGATCAGGGTCACTCATTTGCTGTTCCTGTTGTTTCTAAGAAAGAAAGAAAAAGTTTATTCTCTGTTTTTGGCAGAAAAGTAAAAATGAACCAGTGACTGCTTTCTCTTTTTTTCCCTCATGCCCTTACAAAAGAAATCATGAATCAACTCAGTTTACTGATACTTCTGATTATTTGACTCCCCTATTTCTCCAGTAAAGAAAATGAGGTGGACTAATGGATACATGGAATCCATAACAGAGGATGCCAAAGAAAGAAGAGACCTTAGAACACAGAACATGAGAGCTGGAAGGGACTTTAGAACAGAGAACACTAGAACAGGAAGAACTCTTGCCTGCTAGAGCTGGAAGGAACCTTTGGAAGTAACATCTCATATATGTGTAGCACTTTAATGTTGGCAAAGTGTTTTGCTCACAGTAACCCTGTAAGATACGTAGTGCAATAATCAGTATCCCCATTCTATAGGTGGA